GGGGATGCTCTGAGTCCTCTCTGTCAGTTCTCTCTGTGCTGTAAATGCTGTATCCCAGGGATCTGCTGAGGTTGTAGGGAATGAGGGGATTTGGGGTGGGGTGGGATTTGTAGGTTATAGTGTCCTGGGGGGCTGTTGTATAGTGTGCCTGTAGGAATCCTTCCTGCTTGCCTGCTAGTGTGTCTGAGATGGGTGGATAAATGGCCTGGAGTTTTTGCCCTGGGGACTAGGGCCTAGAGGCTGTGTGGTCCAGATGGGAAGCTGGTCACTCACCTCTCAGTTCTATCTGTGCAGTAGATCTCCTTTCTGTTTTTTAAGCATTTCTTTTAACATGCAATTAGACCTTTCTATAACTGTTTGTCCTATAGGATTGTGTGGTACACCTGTAATGTGCTTAATGTTGTAATATGCAGAAAAAATGTTTAATCTTACTAGATCATTCTCAGTCTGAATTTATACAAGTATTCCCATAATGGTAATAAAACTCCAACCCAAGGAAATTAACTACACTCACAATAACATGGCAAGTAGATAACCTTACTTTACTAGAAGCCAGAAATAGGGGGAAAATACACACACAATACCACTACCAAAAATAGATCCAAAACAAACAAGAATCAACAATCAATGGTCATTAATATCCCTAAATATCAATGGTCTTAACTCACCTATAAAAAGACACAGGCTAACAGAATGGATACTAATATAAAATCCATCCTTCTGCTGCATACAAGAAACACACCTCAACTTCAAAGCCAGATGTTACCTCAGAGTTAAGGGTTGGAAAAAGATTTTTCAATCAAATGGACATAAGAAGCAAGTGGGTGTAGCTATCCTAATATCTAATAAAATAGGCTTCAAACTAAAATTAATCAAAAGAGATGAAGAAGGTCATTTCATATTCATCAAGGAAAAATCCATCAGGACAAAGTCTCTATTCTGAACACCTATGCCCCAAATACAACGGCACCCACATTCATAAAAGAAACATTACTAGAACTCAAATCACACATTAAACCCCACACACTTATAGTGGGAGATTTCAACACCCCACTGTCACCATTGGACAGGTTCACTAGACAGAAACTTAACAGAGAAACAAAGGAACTAATAGAAGTTACGACTCAATTGGGTTTAACAGATGTCTTTAGAACTTTCTATACAAACACAAAAGAATATACCTTCTTCTCAGCACTACATGGAACCTTCTCTAAAATTGACCACATTCTTGGCAATAAAGCAAACCTCAACAGATGCAAAAAAATTGGAATAACCCCCTGTATCTTATGGGACCACCATGACTTAAAATTAGAATTCAACATCAACACAAATTGCAGAAACCCCCGCAAACTCATGGAAATTGAACAATGCTCAAGTGCATCACTCCTGGGTAAAGGAAGAAATAAAGATATCAAAGACTTTCTGGAATTCAATGAAAATGAAGGCACTACATACCCAAACCTATGGTACACTCTGAAAGCAGTACTAAGAGGAAAGTTCACAGCACTAAGTGCCCACATGAAGAAACTGGAGAACAGTCACACTACAGAATTAACAGAACACCTGAAAGCTCTAGAACAGAAAGAAGCAAATTTACCCAAGAGGAGAAGAAGCCAGGAAATAATCAAACGGGGGGGGCTGAAATCAACACAAAAAAACAATGTAACGAAGAGTTGGTTCTTTGAGAAAATCAACAAGATAGACAAACCTTTATCCAATCTATAAAGACAGAGAGAGAACATACTAATTAATAAAATTAGAAATGGAAAGGGGGACATAGGAACAGACACTGGGGAAATCCAGAGAATCATCAGGTCATACTTTGAAAACCTGAACTCCACAAATTTTGAAATTGTAAAGGAAATGGACAATTTTCTGGATAGATATCACTTACCAAAATTAAATCAAGAACAGATCAACAATTTAAATAGATCTATAACCCCTAAAGAAATAGAAGCAGCCATAAAAAGTCTTCCAGACAAAAAAGTCAGTGCAGAATTCTACCAGAAATCCAAGGAAGAGCTAATACCAATACTCTTCAAATTGTTCCACACAATAGAAGCTGAAGGATCACTGCCAAACTCTTTATACTAAGGCTACAATTACCTTAGTACCCAAACCACACAAAGATACAACCAAGATAGGGAACTACAGACCAATCTCCCTCATGAACATTGATACAAAAATACCTAATAAAATACTGGCAAATCGATTCCAAGAACACATCAGAAAAATCATACACCATGATCAAGTAGCTTCATCCCCGGGATGCAGGGGTTGTTCAAGATATGAAAATCCATCAATGTAATCCACCATATAAAACCACATGATCATCTCACTAGATGCTGAAAAAGCCTTTGACAAGACCCAACACCCCTTCATGATAAAGGTCTTGGAGTGATCAGGGATAACAGGAACATACATACATACCTAAACATATTAAAAGCAATATACGATAAACCGACAGCCAATATCAAACTAAATGGACAGAAACTCAAGGCGATTCCTCTAAAATCAGGAAAAAGACAAGACTGTCCACTCCATATCTGTTTAATATTGTCCTTGAAGTTCTTGCTAGAGCAATAAGACAACAAAAGGAGATCAAGGAACTACAGATTGGGAAGGGAGAAGTCAATTTTTCACTATTTGCAGATGATATGATAGTCTATGTAAGTGACCCAAAGATTTCTACCAGGGAACTCTTACAGCTGATAAAGACCTTTAGCAAGGTGGCAGGATACAAAATTAACTAAAAAATCAGTAGCCCTACTATATGCAGACAATAAAGCAGGCCAAGAAACAAATCAGAGAAACATCACCCTTTACAATAGCCACAAACAACATTAAATACCTTGGGGTAACTATAACCAAACAGGTGACAAGAACTTTGAGTCTTTAAAGAAAGAAATCAAAGAAGATACCAGAAAATGGAAAGATCTCCCATGCTCTTGGATAGGTAGGATCGATCAACATAGTAAAAATGGCAAGCTTACCAAAAGCAATCTACAAATTCAATGCAGTCCCTATCAAAATCCCAGCACAATTCTTCACAGACCTTGAAACGACAATCCTCAGCTTTATATGGAAAAACAAAAGACCCAGGATGGCCAAATCAACCATGAACAATAAAGGAACTTCCAGAGGCATCACCATCCCTGACTTCAAGCTCTATTATGGAACGATAGTCCTGAAAACAGTTTGGTATTGGCACAAAAATAGACAGATCAACGGAATCGAATTGAAGACCCTGATATTAACCCACATACCTTTGAAAACCTGATCTTTGACAAAGAAGCTAAAATCATACAATGGAAAAAAGAAAGCATCTTCAACAAATGGTGCTGGAATAACTGGATGCTGGCATGTAGAAGAGTGCAGGTAGAACCATGTCTATCTCCTTGTACAAAAGGTTGAAGTCGGGGTAAGAAGAGAGGAGAGCAGGATGACAGATACCATAATAGAGGGGACCACTAATGAGATTTTCAGATTTCTACAAAAATGACACCAACTAGCATTAAGCCTACCTTAAATGCCCTCCCCTGTTAATGAGATTGATGACTGCCTCATATGCCATCCTAGAGCCCTCATCCAGTGGCTGATAGAAGCAGAGGCAGACACCCACAGCTAAAAACCGAACTGAACTCCTGGAACCCAGCTGCAAAGAGGAGTAACAAGCAAAGGAATCAAGACTCGGCTAATGAAACCCACAGAGGCAGCTGACCTAAACAAGGGGGAACGCATGGACCCCAGACTGATGACTGAGAGGCCAGCATGGGACTGATCCAGACCTCCCTGAACCTGGGTTTCAGAGAGGAGGCCTCAACAATCTATGGGGCCTCGGATAGTAGATCAGTATTTATCCTTGACACACAAATGGACTTTGGGAGCCCACTCTACACGGAGGGAGGCTCTCTCAGCCTGGACACATAGGGGAGGGCCTAGGCCCTGCCCAGGATAATATAACAGATTTTGAAAATCCCCCATGGAAGGCCTTACCCTCCATGGGGATTGGAGGGTGATGAAATGGGTTGGTGGGGGAGTTGGTGGGAGAGGAGAAGGGGAGGGAGAGGGAGCTAGGAATAACATGTGTAAAAAGTTAAATAAAATATTATTTTAAAAATGTAACCATGAGACATGGCATTGTGACTCCCCAAAGAGTAAAGAATTGCACTCAACTCCGTAATTCTACATCCAGGATTGTAGGGGGTGGAATAGATTTACAAGGTTTTGAAATGGACAATGATGGTGTTTACAGAGCAATATGAATATACCTTATGCCACTGAACTGTACATTTGAGAATGTCTAAAATAACAAATCTTAAAAATTAAAATATATGTATGGGTGTTTAGCCTGCCTGTATGTCTCTGCCACCTGCATGCTCCGTACCTAAGGAGGATAGAAGAGGGTGCTGAATTCCTTGGAACTGCAGTTACAGACAATAATTAGCTGTTTAGTGGATGCTGGAATTGAACCCCTATATATTGGAAGAGCAGCTAGTGCTCTTAACTGTTGAACCGTCTCTCCAGTCCTATAACACACACACACAATATATACATATATATATATATGTATATATATATATATATATATATATATATCCTTGTAATCCTATTCCTCCGGCTTCTTGTTCTCTCTCCATCTCTCTCCCTCTCTGACTCTCTCCTCTCCATCTCTCCCTCCCTCCTTCCTTCTCCCCTCCTTCTCTCTCTCATCAACAGGGTTCACTACGTAGCCCTGGAACTCACTACAGTGACCAATGTGGCTAGGAACTGTAAAGATCCAGCTGTCTCTGCCCTGCTGTGCTGGGGTTAAAGGCATGCGGCACTACGCTCAGCTTGCTTGGGGTTTCATCATGAGATGAACATGCTTCCAGCACCACGCTGCCTGGATTCGTATCTTGAGCCATGTTTTTCTCCTTGTGACTTTTACCCATTTTGTTGATAAAGAAATTGCCCCACCCCAACACTATGGAGTAATAAGGAAAGAGAAGGATACTCACGTATTATGTCCAGCACAATGGCATCGCTATCCTTGAAATTGGCTGGATTGGAGACCTCACACTTATACTCCCCAGAATCCTCCAGCTTGACAGGGTCTATGGTGAGGATGCGATTGTTGTCAGACAGCTTCATTCTGTCCGTGAGCACCAGATGCTCCCCTTTGAAGAGCCAACGGAAGGAGATCCCAGGGTCATTTGAGGAGCAGGTCAGGGACACAGATTCCAGTTCTTTTACTACAGTTTTGCTGGCTTCAATGGAGGGCACATTCACAGGCTCTGTGGATGAACAGTGGAGGGGACCAGCTGAGAGTCCTTCACCCTCAGAGATCTCCGCCAGCTCACAGGGCCCACAGAATGAAGTGGCCCTCTGCAAGATCGCATGATTGTGTTCAAGATATGGTCTGTAAGGAGGGAACTGAATCTTCCTGCTACCCAGATCACCCACAGTGACCCCTGACTTAGCATATGTGTGTAGCGGCCACAATCAGAGTCTCTTGTCCAGAAATCTCATGGGGGGTGTTTTTCCCATTAATTTTTTTGTGAAAATTCTTGTATCACACTTTCTGAGAGTGAACAGTCATGTCCTCCCATTATAAAAAAGTTTTCTGTTTCTTATTCATTCAATAATTTGTCATGGGGTTAAGATGGCCCAGCTAATCTTAGAGGTATTAAAGCCTAGATCTCAGGATTGGGAGAAATCCCAAACTAACTAATTTCAGCTTGAAGAAAGATTTACTTTTCTCAAAACCCCATGGGTATGGATTAAACTCCATAGAGAAGTGGTGGATTGCCACAGTGTTGATAACAGCCTGCCGCTTTAATCCTAGACTCTGATTTGTTTTGTTGTTTGAGGCCGGGTCTCCATATATCATCCAGTCTAGCCTGGATCTTGCAATGTTGACCACACTGGCCTTAAACTCAAGGAGACCCACCTGCCTCTGCCTCCCCAGTGCTACTAGTAGAGGTCCACCATCCTTACGTCTTACCACAGATGTCTCTTGGCACCTTCCTTGTGCAGTCCTCTACATGGAGACTCGACACAGGAGTCCCTGTTCTCCACGCCTGTGTACAGTGTTCTCAGTGATTACCTCCTGAGCTAGTGTTCAAAGCTCACATAGACCTTCAGAACCAAGACACAGCTCAGAGCCAGCTAACCTGTAGTTCCCGTCTCCACTTTCCCATCCCTGAACTCAGGGATTCTGATGTACATCAGTGACATTTTATTTTACTTTGTTTTGCTTTTTCTTGATTTTTTTGAGGCAGGGTCTCAGCTTTGGCTGACCTAGAACTTGCTATGTTGACCAGGCTGGCCTTGAACTTATACTATCTTCCTGCCTCTCCCTCCTTAGTGCTGGCATTAAAGGTGTGCACAACCACTCTCAGGTGACATTTGCTTTTTAAACCTTGAGAACAGTAAGGGAATGAGCATCATCAAATGGTCTCTGATTTGGTTCACCCGGACTCAGAGCAGGGCTCCCAGACACATTCTCCACCCACTCTTTCCATCCTATGGAGTCAGCTGAGCCAGACACCCAAGAGACAGGAGCTGAGTTGGGAGCAGAGCTCTGAACTGCTGTCCCCATCTGTGCAGAGTTTTCTCCTCACATTTGGAGAAAGAGAATGTAGCATACTTGAAAGACCTGGGTGTTCCTTCTAGGTCATGGAGACCATAAGAGGAAAATGGAGGGGACAGGAATGCTGTGTTAGTGACAGAAAGGTATCTTGATATTAAGACCCCTGGAAGGTCCCTCACACGACCTGAGGCTTTCCAAGGCTGGGAGATCCCCTCCTCACATTCCAAGCTCCATCCCTATCAGCCAGGGGAAGTCAGAGAAGCAGGAGACCATTAGACATAGGGATGGAGCAGGAAGCTCGGGGAGGATTCAGTTTTGTCTCTTCCCATAGCCAGGGTCTGTAAGTTAAATCCCTCTGCATCTTCCCAGAAAGCCAAAAGACTGCACTCCACACCTGGTGCTGACATTCAGAGATCCACTTACCAAGGACAATAATGTTCTTGACTGTGGTCCTATTGAGGCCAGTGGCAGAGTTATGGACGAGGCAGGTAGAGGATCTGCTATTATTAGTAGTGATGTTGGGGATAAAGAGCTCTTGGGAGGATGCCTGGAGCTCTCCATTGACAGACCAGGAGTACTGTGCGGGTGGGTTAGAGGCTGCGTGACAGGAGAGGCTGAGGTTTGTCCTTGACTGGAAATGAGTATCTGAGGGGGATATGATGGGGACATCTGGACCATCTGGAGCAAATAGAAGAAAGCCACATGTGATGTCAGCAGAGGGAAGGGGAAATCCTGGTCTGCAGAAGGCCATGGAATCTCTTTAGCTGTGCTATAACATTAGATGAACAGCTACCACCCAGAGCTGGGTGTAGATTAGTCGAAGAGTATTCATGCAGCATGCACAAGCCCTGATCCACCCTAAGCACAACACACAGACAGCCCCACTGTACACTCGTGTGTGCACTGAGCCTGAGTCTGAGATGTCCCCTGTCTCCATCACCCTGAGTCTCTCTAGGCAGAAGAAGTCTCTCCAGCTCCTTCTAGCTAATGCTAGGCCTAGCTGTATGTGCTTGGGCTAGCCAAGGATGCCCTGGCCAGCATAGGTGTATGTGTGGTGGGTCTGTGTCATAAACGCAAGGGGACTGAGTGTTCTAAATCTAGCCATCTGTATTTAGGTGTTGTAGCCAGGATGAAACAGGCAATCCTCACAGGTAATGTTCAGAGTGAATGGCTCACTTCGGGAGGTGCTCACTAGATTCCGGGTTTCACACTCATAGGGTCCAGTGTCAGTCCTCACAACAGTGAGTAAAGTGAGAGTTCTGTTGTCGATGGACAGCTTCAGCCTGTCACCTTCTGAGAGGCTTTGGCCATTTATCCTCCACAGGTAGACTGTATTCTGAGTCTCAGGCTCACACATTAATGCTACCGAGTCCTCACCCTCCATGGGATTAGAATTGTTGCTTGTGATGTTGGGCTTGGGTAGCGGTGCTGTGAAGACAACAGAGAGAAGATTGCCCTGTCTGGTACCTCTGACTCTTGCAAGGGCCTGTCCCAACCAGAGACAGTCTCTTATCTCCATGCCTACCCAGATCCTTAAGGAATCAGGCAGGAAGCAAATGCCAGGCAGATGGAGTAGCTGAGAGCTCAGAGGTCATGGGGCCTCCTGAGCTGTGTATGGGAGAGGCAAGGGCTTTCTCGTGAGGGAATTGAGTGCAGTGTGTGGGAATGGACAGACTCAAGCCTTGGAATCAGAGACCTCATTTTATCTCCTGGTCCTCACTGACCCATTGCAGGCCTTGAGACGCAATGTGTGAGTCCCTCCAGCTGCACTGACCTCCACTGCTCAGTGTAGACCAGTGTCCTCCAAGCCTCTGCTCTTCATGGCTGTCCTGCACATAGGTCATGATTAGTCTTCCCATTGAGCTTCCCTGAGAAACCTGACAGCCTGTTAGAGATCTCACACAGATCAGGATCTGGCTGGCATTCAGGTGAGGAGGAACAGAGGTGGACCATTCTTGTCAGTTGTTTGAGTCTACGAAATGATCTAGAAGACTGAAGGGCACCTACTAAGCTCTCCATAGTGGGAAACTAGAGATGTGTCTGTGGCCAGGTAGCTTGTGCCAACCATGGACTATGAGACCCAGACTCAGTGTCTGTGGTTCCTGTCTCACATTCCTTATAATAGGACACATGGTAAATGATCATTGCCATTCCTGAAAATGAACCTTAAATGTGAACAACGACCTGACTTTCCAGCAAGCAGTGTCTGCGAACATTTGCCTGCAGGAAATAATTCCTGGGATGGACCCGAGGAGGGCAAGGGGCTGCCATTCGTACACTTTTCCTCCTGTCTCTTCAGGGCTCTTGACCTTCCTGTGAGGTCTCAGAAGACCACAGAACAGCTGGCTGACTGCCTCTCACACCTCCCCACCTATGCTGAGCACCCTGAGATGCCTGGGGACCCACCTCAGACATGGCTCTCATAGGCTGACAGTCAGCAGGCCACCAGCCTACAATCAATCATTGTCCCCTGTCAGCTCCAAAGGGAGGTCAAACTTCAGCCCAGTCTACAAGCTTCCCGGATTCCTGGTCCAGTCTGGCATGGAGGTCTGGAGCAGAGCTTCTGGTGTTCATCTCTCTGTGAGACTCTGATGGTTTCCTCAGCCAGGCCCTGCCTGAGTCCTGAAGCATCTTTCTCAAAGCTGTGTTCATGATGAGCATCTAAGACCCTGGGCAGAGTCTCTCATGCCTGGGCTCAGGTACCTCACCCCCTCTTCTCTGAGCGTGGATTCCAGTGAGGCATCCTGATTTATTGCTGTTTTCTCCCCTCTGTGTCCTTTACTAAATGATTGAACCACAATGTGGGGACCATAACACAGAGTCATCCAGGAAGGACAACCCTGTGTGTGGAGTAGGATTGTCTCCATCCATGACCCAGAAGTTACAGAGAGAGAATTACTTACCGTATACTTGGAACTGCAAGGATAGTACCAGAGTATCATAGTTCATTGTTAGCAAACGTGCCGTGTAGGTCCCTGCGTCATTCTTATTGACGTTCTCTAAGAGCATGAATCCATCTTGGTATACTTTCTCTCTGCCAGTGTGTGCAGGCCCGCGCATATTTACAAGTCTGCTTGGTATAAATCGTACGATTTCTTTATCGTCATGCAGATGTGGTCCCCTGTACCAGTAATAGGCCATGATTTTCGTTTCCAGATCGTGGATCTCTAGAATAACACTTGCCCCTACAACCACGTTGGGTGGGACTGCTGCAAGTCTGGCTTGGGCAGTAGCAGAAGAATTACAGTAGGTTAAAAGTAAGGCTAAGAGGGAAGAGAGAAAATCTATCAACATTTGGATCTTGGCATTTGGTGGAAATTTGAAACCTGAGTGTGCTCAACTCCCAGCCTCGGTGTGTTGGTGTTCTGTTAGGGGGAGGTCAGAACCCCCAAATCTGTCCCCTGAATGACAGTGTCTGCTCGGGTGTCTACACAGCTCACCACTCACTCCCTCAGATCCCTGCTCACACTCAGAATATATGGGGAGTGTAGGCATGTCTTCTCTGACCTCCTCCTCTACAGACTCTCTGCCTTCATTTTCTGCCCTTTCCCTGCTCTGTTGCTTCTGAAGTGCTTGTCACCCCTGAGGCCACCTTCTAGATGTCCTCGCTGCTGTCTTCATGGCCAGTAGCACTAGGCCTTTGTGAGGAGGACTAGTCTGATTTTGGTTTAAACCCCACTGCCCGGAACATCTCAGACACCTGTGAGCAGTCAGTGTCCCAGAGCCTGGGGTTTATTTGCTGATTTCTCAGTTTGAGTTTTACTTGGAGAGTCACCTGACAGAGTTGTGACCGTCAGTCTTCAGGACACAGGGGCCAGTGCTGATGAACTTACGAGGGGGAACAGCTGAGTTTCCCTCCCCACTTAGCAATTCACTTTCACTGTGAGCTTCCTGTTGCTCTCAGGCTCCAAGCAGAAGCCAGATGGCCCTTCTCAGGCTCTTTCCCTCTCCCAGGGACCCCACCCCGTCTCTGCTCTCCACCCCCAGGAATGTCTCCTCACCTGCCAGCAGGAGACCCCTCCAGGGGACCTGCCCTTTGTGGAGAGGGGCTGAGGTGAGCTCCATAGTCTCTGCTGCCTGCTAGCCCTTCCTCTGGAGAGGTTTGTCTCTCAGGCTGCTGTCAAGCCTGGCAGCTCTGCTGTCTGCTCTGCTTATCTTCCCAGGCCTGAGCCTCCTCCCAGAGGAGGGCACCTCCTGGAGTCACATGGGCTGGGGTGGAGTCTGTGTAAGTTCTGCCTCCAGTCCTATTCCTTTTTGGTTCAGTGTTCTAGAACACACTTTGAGTCACAAGACTGAGAAGTGTCCCGTGTTCCTAGAAACAACAGCTCACACCAGGGCTGCCCTCTGCTGTGTCCTGACCTTGTCTGTCAGCACCAGAGGGAGTCCCTGCACTTCTACAGCCAAGAGTGTGTTTCCTTGTGACACAGAGACCCAGCTGAGCCCAGTCTGCCCTGTGTTCCCAAAGCTCTGGGAAGGTGGGAGTTACTCTGGGCAGGGGGTGGAGTTGTCTCTAGTGACTGGAAAAGGTCTACTGAGCGATGACTGTGGAGGGCCCGGATCCATTGTCATTGGTGTCACCAGTCGCCAGTCTGATCCAGGCATACAAGTTCTGTCAGGGGTTGTATATCCTGGTGGGCAGGAGGAGGTGACCTGTGTGTCCTAGAAAGAGGACTGTGTGCTCCAGCTTCCTCTGGAGGGCACGGGGAGACACCCTCATCCCCCAGCCTCCTGAGATGACTGAATGTGATTCAGGTCTGCCCATGCCCTCCCTGACCTTTCTGCACACCTTTGTTCTCTTTGCTGATTGCCCCGTGATCTCCCCTATTTCCTCACGGATGAGGTGAGGAGGGAGAGAACTACATGGGGTCCTCTTGCAGAATGGGCTTCTCAGACACACAGGAAGTGATTATGTGAGGGAGCTCCAGCTGTTGGAATTGGGATGGAGACAAGTCTACAAGATAGCTTCCCACCTCAGGGAGAGTTTTCCCTGTTGACATGTGGTGTATTGCCGCCCCTGGTGTTCATGAGGAGACCTGCAGCTCACGTCTGGGCTGCACAAGGATGGCAGCCAAGCTCCAAATGCTGTCAGGAGCTGAGCATCAAGTTTCCCAGGAAAGGTCCCAGTGTGCAGCTGCCCTTGAGGATCTAGTAGATCTGTGCTGAGGTGAGACTGTAACAGCTGAGGTTTTATACCAACTGCCACTTGATCTGCAGTTCCACAGAGACTCGTGATGTTGAACCCCTTTCCAGTGTTTTATTAGATTTTTGTACACCTAGTTCTGGAGCAGGCGTATCCAAGTCCATTGCTCACTCTAAAATAGTTTCCATCCAGCTTTTAAATTTTAAAGCAAAGTACGTTATTGACTAGCAAGAAGACATTTTAAATTATAAGGTAAAATGAAAACCAAACCAAACCCTGCAAGGTAATCAGTGTTGAATTCCTGGTGTTTCTCTTTCAGGTTCAGGCTCAGCAAGTCCACATTACCAGGAGTTCTCAAAAGTCCCCAGAAGTGATGATTTAAGCATACTTCTGACAGCCTTCACTCTCTGTAACTTTTGTAGCTGGAATTCTTATTTAAACAGTAATACACCCTACGTTGGTAGTACTTGTAAGAACTGTGTTGTACAGGGACATTTAAATGATGAAAATCATGCCTTCACATTTGGGCCTCTCAGAGAGGTGTCAGAATAGAGTCACATGTGGAAATTGCTGGCCAAAGTCCCGTTTCCATCAAAACCGTTTCACATGTTGAGAAGACATTCAGAGGGTCCACACAAAGGACAGCATGTGTGTGAACTCACTATGGAGCATTAGTCTCATTAAAATTACCGTTTTGTGTTCTCCTTGCTAAATGTTGTACAATACCTCCACATATTTAATTACATATGTACATGTATACATTGCAAGCTAGGACCCACATAGAAGAAACTATATCCCTCCCCCCAGATTGGGTGATCTCATGTAACATTATACGTTCTAAGTTTATCCACTTTCCTGTAAATTCTGTGACTTCATTTTTCTCTAAAGATGAAAAATATTTCTCTTACTGTGTGCACTAGACTTGCAGTATACATTCATCTGTTGATGGGCATCCAGAATGGTCCCATCCCCTTGCTATAGTGAATAGAGCAGCAGTAATCATGGGGTGCAGACGTCTCTGCGGTAGGGTGCAGCATCTCTGGGTATGTGCCCAGTGAAACAGCTGAGTCGTATGGTACTTGTAATGTTTTGAGGGACTCCCACATGCTTTACACAACGATTGTATTAATTTGCCTACCCAGCAGCAGTGAGTAAGTGATCCTCTCCTCATCCTCTGCGACATTTGTTCTCAGTTACTTTACTGTAGACATTCTACTGGGGCTGAGATGGTGTCTCACAGTAGTTTTATTTAGTGTTTCCCTGATGACTAGGGATCACTTTTTTCCTGAGGTGTACCGGTTACTGATTCCGAGCACAAAATCCGTATGCTATATGTGAACATTTCTCTGTTCTGTATGTTGCTTCAGTTTGTAGTATTAATTCATAAACTCGCTGTCTTACATTGACTGTTGCTGTGATGAAACATCATGATCAAAAGGACCTTGGAGGAGGAAAGGGTTTATTTAGCTTACACTTCCAAATCACGTTCATCACTGAAGGAAGTCAGCACAGGAACTCAAACAGGGCAGGAACCTGGGGGCAGGAGCTGATGCAGAGGCCATGGAGGGGGCTGCTGACTGGTCTGCTCCTTGTGGTTTGCTCCACCTGCTTTCTTATAGAAGCCAGGACTATGAGCCCAGGGGTGACTCCACTCACAATGGGCTTGTCCCTCCCCCTTTAACCACTAATTAAGTAAATGCTCTTGAGGCTTGCCTATGGCCCGATCATGTAGAGATTTTTCCTCACTCATCTGCAGCCTGTGTCAAGTGGACATAAAATTATCCTATACACCTACTAAGTAAATTTGAGTAAAGCATGAATTTCAATACTCAATCACAAAACCAACTTTACATTTTTATATAAATTCTTCTAGAATTTAAAAGCAAATTAATTTTTCACATTTGAAATTTTTAAAAAATATATTTTGTGTCCTTTTGATTCTCAGAAAGCCTTTGGAAGGTAGATAATTTCTCTATTACTTCTTTTTTAATGTTTTAAAGGAAGGGTCAGGGGAGGGAATTTTGTGTTCTAAGTACTTTTCCTTTTTAAAAAAAATGGAGAGAAGTGACTTACTTTACAAAATATTTAAAATTCATTATTTGACAGTTCCATACACACACAGGTATAAATGTATTTTGTCGTACACAATCCTATTACTCCCTCATCATCTCCCACTCCTGCTGAACCCTTCTTCCTAAAATATCCCCTGCTACATGCTTTGTGTGTCATATGCAAGTTATCATTCTTCTATGTACGTGTGTGTGTGTGTGTGTGTGTGAGTGAGTGTGTGTGTTCACCACAGTGTGCAGAGTTCAGATGGTAACTTTCAGGAGTAGATTCTCTCCTCCAATCTTTACATGGATTCTGGAGATTAATCTCTGGTCATCTGGCTGTGCAGCAAGTGCTTTCAGGTGGTGAGCCGTCTCACGGGGCCTCTGTCTCTTTCTGTGTGCTCCTCACTGTTTAATTAGGGTTTCTTACATGAGCATGGATGGTGGGGTGGTTACTCACTGTAGTACAGGCAATTAAGCACTGGAGAAAACGATTTCCTACCCCTTGGTGGCCATCAATTGCCCATGGGTCCTGAGAAAGGGGTGTGGCCTCTCAAGTCCCTCTCTTGTCCATGGTGTGCTGTTGATGGGCCTGTCTCACACAGGTCTTGTGTTGCTGTGTTTTCATGAGTTTATGGCCATACTGTGCGCGAGACAGCAGTTTACCTCAGTCCTCTCCATCCTCCTCTTCACAAGTTCCCTGAGCCAGGGAGTGGATTATACAGAAGTTCTGTCCATGGTCGAACACTCAGCTGTCATTTATTCTCCCACTGTTTTCTTTCTTGCATCAAGGTTTACTCAGACACATGAGGGACACAGTTGATTCATGTCTGGATGGGGACTGTTCTGCCACTTACAAAAGGCCTAGTTCTGCATAGGGCCATATTTACCATCTCCTGACCTTAGGAGGTTTGTCAGGTGACACACTCTGCCCTGAGCTTGCACAGCTAGGATCTTATGTGATGGGGGAGAGCATAGACCTACCAGGGCATAGATGTCTGAGACTCCACATCCTGCAAGCAGAGGCGTCTCAATTTCCACAGAAATAATGGAATAGCAGTCAGGGTCCACTGTGCTAGTTATGACAGGGGTCCTTGCGGTTCCAGGGAAGGCTCAAGTCCCTGGGGCAGGGGGTGATTCTTCAAGAGGACATTAGGGTGCCTTGGGACCTCGTCCATAGTAGGACTCAAGGAATGTTCACCAGAGTTGGCCCCTGGTAGCTGTGGCTTCCTAAGGTCATGGTGGGCAGTGGCCCTGGGAAAGGGAAGAATAACCTTTAGGGACAAACAGTGTTTAAGGAGTGGATACTGCATCCGCAGAAGACCATGTACCTACCTTCTCTCTCAGGTGTGTGTTTGGAGGAGAGTAGTTGAGGAGATGCACTACAATGCCTCTTCTGTCATGGGCCAGGGTGTGACAGTTCCTCAGCATGGATAGGTCCTGAGGAACATTCATCCAGGAAAGGGACTCAGGAACTAGGAAAAGGTCCAACCTGGAGGTTTCCCTGAGTGGAAATGTCCGGTCCCTGAGACAGAAGCAGGGACAGCAGATAGAACTCAGTGAGTGTCACTTCTCAGGCTGGGCCTGCTGTAGTCAGACCTCCTGAGGACAGTGTGTGTGACAGTGGCCCGGGACAAGATATATTATACAGGACTTGTCCTAGCTGATCCTCAGGATCATGTGCTGTGGTTCCTCATGTAGTTCAGAAGTTGCTAGAAGGCAAGACAAACGTCTCTGCTTCTAGGCAAAGCAGGAAGTAGGTGTGACCAGGCCTCCCAGGACTCTGCATGTAAGCTCCAGGTTCTAGTTTCTAGGCCGTTCATCCAGTATTTTTAAATTATTCATTCCTTTCTTACTCCATCATAAAACTGTTACGTGTTGCTTACACTGTTTCCCCTGAGTGTTGCAGGGTCCATGGGAGAAGCAGAGTTCTCTCCTATAACCTCCAGTAGGACTGGCATGGGCACAGAAGAAACATGGGATTTCTAGTCCAGTGAGGGGGGCTGTGAGTTAGGGGATTCTATTGACTCAGGCGATTTGGTTCTAGAATCAAAATTGTT